AAAAAAAAAAAAAAGAAGAACGTGAAGGTAAAAGGGGAAACATTCCAGAGAGAACAGTTTATGCAAAAATGCTATGATGATGGTCAAAAGGAAGCTATTATAGTATAGCTAGGGCAATGAGAGCCAGAGGGACTACAGCTTCGGTACAATCAGGGACACATTGTGGAAGACGTTGTAGGCTGGCTACAGTAAGGGTTTTGATCAGATTTACTTCTTTTTTCCCCCAAGCTCACTGTAGTGCGGACAACAGACTAAAGAGAGACCACAGTGGACAAAGATGGCTTAGGAGGCTATTGCAGTTGTCCAAGAAAGAGATGACAGTCTTCTTGGTTATCACAGTATGAGTAACAAGAGGAAGAATCTATTAATAGTGAGGGAGGAACTACACATAAATATTACTGTGGCCAATGAGAAATCCATTTTCAGGTATTACCTATGTGACCATTATAGATAAAAGGTTAAAGCTTTCCTAGGTTTTACAGTAAAGTGCAAATTAATTCCCCTTTAATCTGTTTTTTAGTGCCTTATGGGTTTATATGGGCCTGTACTACTCGTATAGGCAATACTATACAGTTAATGATTACATTTTCAAAGTCACCCAGATATCCTTATGATTTTTCTAGTCTATCATATCAACAAATAACATATGTTTAGTGCCTACTGTAAATAGGACATTGGGCTAACCTTTAGAGTTGTAAAGAGATATTAGAAAGAGTTCTCATTTTCAAAAGGCATATACTCTAGCTAAATAGACAGGACTTAGCCTAAATAGCAAATAAATTGCTAGGTCTCCTGCAGCCTACTACAAATGACCTACAAAGTAGGTCTCATTTTGTCCTTAGTCCAAAGGCTTGTAAATTTCAAAACATGCTTGCTTGGTTAACTGTGGTCAAAAGGAGAATTTTGAGAGGGGCCTAGCTGCTTTTTATTTATTTATTTTTTTAAATTTAAATTCAATTTAGTTAACATATAGTGTATTATTAGTTTCAGGGGTAGAATTTAGTGATTCATCAGTTTCATATAACACCCAGTGCTCATTATATCTAGCTGCTTTTTAAAATACAAAAGTCAGACAGAGATTGGAACTACCCTCTGACTCTGGCCAAAAGAGATTCTGAGAGGATGAATGAGTTATAAATAGAAAAAAAGATGACTGAGGAAAGTATCTTGGAGCAAAACAAGTAGGTCACAAATAAATATATACAGAACGTTTCAATTTTTAAAAAGTTCAAAACCAGGCAAAACGAAATTATATTGTTAGGGGTGCAGAAGAAAGTGGGTTACATATAAAGAAAAACTAGAAAATAATCACCATAAAATTCAAAATAGACATAAGAGGGGCTTCTGGGGTGCTGGCAATATTCTATTTCTTGGCCTGGCTGGTGTTTATAAAGGGATTTACCTCTTAACTGTTCTTTAAATTACATATCAAGATATATGGGCATATATTTATGCACACTTCTGTATGTACATTTATAATTTAAAAATCCTCTTTACAAAAAGGCATCTCTGGGGTGCTTGGCTGGCTCACGCTGATAGAGCATGCGACTCTTGATCTCAGGGTTGTGAGTTTGAGCCCCAAGTTGGGGGCAGAGATTACTAAAAAAAAATATATAAATAAATAAACTTAAGGAAAAAAAAGCATCCCTGTGAATGAGGAAGCAGGACTTTGATTGGGCTTTAAATACTATTCTAAGCCCAAAGACTAACATAGTGTTGACTAGAAAATTAGCATACTTTTCAGCCATGGACGGTCACTTAATGATAAAATGTACTTGAGTGGAAGCCAAATATTAAATGGGGGCAAAGGAGAAGTGGTAGTGCTGAGCACAAACATAAAGGCATGAGAAAGAGTTCAGGGGAAACCCACACTGAAGATTTGGCTAGAAACAAAAAGATGAAATAAAAATGCAATTAATAAAATCTTATTTGGAAGGATGCCTGAAGATAAGCCCTACCCAGATGCCAAACCATAAAGGATCACTTAAAAGTCAAATGCTGTTTGATTAAGAAAAAAAATTATTCAATAACAGGTTTAGAGGAGAAATAAGTAATAAGAAGTACTTAAATATCACTTGCTTTCATGGACTAGGTCTCTTAAGTATTTGTGATTTTGATGAGGCGAACTTTTTTTTTTTTTAAAGATTTTATTTATTTGACAGAGAGCAGGAACACAAGCAGGGGGAGTGGGAGAGGGAGAAGCAGGCTTCCCATGGAGGAGGGAGCCTAATGCAGGGCTCGATCCCAGGACCCCAGGATCATGACCTGAGCCGAAGGCAGACGCTTAACGACTGAGACAACCAGGCGCCCCGATGAGGCGAACTTCTAAGGTTATATAAATAAATTAAAACTACATTTTCTATAATGAATTGGTGAATGAGCTATGGTAACATTTCAGTCACTTCTCATTCTTCTTATCAGAAGATAACCACAGTCTTAAGAATTCAAACTGACTCTAGGGGGCTAAGCATTATACCCTTTAACCTAAAATACTGACTTGACATGAATGTTACTAAAAATCTTTGTTGGTCCACCTGTCTGAGTAGCTATCCATTCATATATCCATCTGTCCATCATTTATTGAGTTCCTACTATTACCAGACATTGTACAGGTTACTGGGGATACAGAATGGATAAGGTAGGCATAACCCCTGCCCGCATGGCATTTATGTAAAGGGAGGGACATACATGAGTCTAAAAATCTCACATGTAATTATTTAATTACAACCATGATAAATGCAACAACATATAAGCACAGGGTGCTATGAGGTCATAGAGAAAGACTTAATTTAGTGCTGGACAGTTGAACAGGAAAGGACATCTTGTGGACGTAACACTTAAGCTGAAATCTGTAGGGTAAGCAGGAGTTAGGCAGGGATGGGGATGCAACATGTAGAATTTTCTAGGTGGCAGGAATAGCATATATAAAGGCCCTGAGGCAGAAAAGAGCTTGGCATATAGAGGAAATGCATAGGGCCAAAATTCAAGTTTATAACATTTTTTGGACTACCTTGATAGCAGAGTCAGGTGACAAAGATTCCACTGACTTTAATAATGCCTAGAATTCTAGGACTATCTTTTCAGCAATGAGTATTTGCCTCTAGTGTAGACATTTAATTTATAGAATTAACACTAAAAGCAAGTATATTTTACAAGTAATCGAATATGTAGAATTCAAACTCCCCTAATTTAATCTCTCTCAACAATTCTAAAATTACTTACAAAATAAACTGCTCCAAAACTGCCATGTCCAATTTCATGCAAATCAATAAAAAGTTCTTCAGGATCATCTTTGTAGAAGAGATCAGCAATCTCTGGGTCCTTTGGCACCCCTTTACGCATGATGTCCAGTATTTGCAAATGTTTTGCTTTTGATATCCCAGTCAGCTGTATCTCTCATTTACAAATATTTTCGGCGTAAGTTTTTAGTACCTGTAAAAAAAATAAGGTTTGACATTAACTTATTTCTAAAACATCTTGGTTGGTGGCAATACAAATTAATATTAAAAAGCACCTTGGTCTTACAACTTCATAATAAAAAGACAACCCAAAAGAAAAATGGGCAAAGGATCTGAATAGACATTTCACCAAAGATACACAAGTGGCCATTAACACATGAAAAGATGCTCCACATTATTAGTAATTAGAGAAATAAACATTAAAACCACAGTAATATACCATTTTATATCCACTAGGATAACTACTATCAAAAAGTCAAATACTATTGGTAAGGATGTGGAGAAAGCAGAACCCTCCAAAACTGCTGGTGGGAATATAAAGTGGTGCACCATTTTGGGAAAGAGACCGGCAGTTCATCAAGAACTTAAAAATCAAATTACATTTGACCCAGAAATTCTACTACTAGGTATAAACCCAAGAGGAATAAAAACATATGTCCACACAAATACTTGTATGGATAGATATTGACAGCAGCATGATTCACAGTAGCCAGAGGTGGAAACAGCCCAAATGTCCATTTGGTGAATGAATAAACAAAATGTGGTACATCTGTACAACGGAATATTATTCTGGCATAAAAAGGAATGAAGTACCAATATATGCTACAACATGGGTGAAACCTGTAAACATGATGGGAAGTTAAAGAGGCCAGTCGGCCAGTCATAAAAGATGAAATATTGAATAATTCCATTTATATAATACACCCAGAATAACTAAATCTATGGAGACAGAAAGCAGATTATTGGTTGTCTACAGCTGGGGGAAAGAGAGTTTGGCGGTGACAGCTAAAAGGGATGGGCTTTCTTTATAGAATTATGAAAATGTTCTAAAGCTGATTGTGGTGATGGTTGCACAATGGTTAATATACCAAAAACCACTGAATTGTACACTTTAAATGAGTTATATCTCAATAAATCTGCTTTTAAAAGCAGTTTGGTGGGGTGCCTGGGTGGCTCAGTTGGTGAACCGGCTGCCTTCAGCTCAGGTCATGATCCTGGGGTCCTGGGATTGAGTCCCACATCAGGCTCCCGCTGCTCTGCAGGGAACCTGCTTCTCCCTCTCTCTCTGCCTGCCATTCCCCCTGCTTGTGCTCTGTGTCAAATAAATAAAATCTTAAAAAAAAAAAGCATTTTGGTCTAATTAATATTGAAATAATGACAGCTAAGATTTATTAAGCACTATTATGTGTCAGGCAACACTAAGTTCCATATATGTATATATTATTTTCTTTAATCCCTATAGCAGCTTCATAATGTAGGACTTCTTTATTTTGATTTTATATAACAAACAGAACTGAGAAGCAAAACTACTCCCCCATATCAGGGAGCTAGTATTTGTCAGAACTGGGGCCCAAACCCAGATCTAACTGTAGAGCCCATGCTATACATATAGAATAGGTAATTAGGTAACAAACTGCTACTATTTGGAGATTATGCTAACATTCATTCACTTAAAGAGGCAGATTATTCTGCTGCTTTACAAAATATTCTGAGTTTAAAGTTTCTATTAATAGAAGGACATTATTTTGACATGCTTATATATTGGTTGTTAATAGTTACATTTAGCTGATATAGATCCTTATTTTTTTAAAAATACTGAAATATTAACTTTCATCTATATTTTTTTATTGTAAATATTCCCCCACCATGAGAATCAATCATTCCAACACTGAACATATCACAGGATAATTTGTGTTTCTTCCTTGACCCATCAGATAACTACACTAGAAATTTAGTTATTGGCCAATAAAATTGTGTGGTTTTTTTTAAAAGATTTTATTTATTTGAGAGAGAGAATGAGAGAGAGCACATGAGAGGGGGGAGGGTCAGAGGGAGAAGCAGACTCCCTGCTGAGCAGGAAGCCCGATGCGGGACTCGATCCTGGGACTCCAGGATCATGACCTGAGCCGAAGGCAGTCGCTTAACCAACTGAGCCACCCAGGCGCCCTAAAATTGTGTTTTTAAAAATGTGTGCCAACAGGCTTCACTCAAGGAGAAGAGAAAAAGAGGATTGTTAATAAAGAAGTAGTCAGTGCTAAGAATTTTTCTCTTGTGACATGACAGCGTTAGCAGACTATGTACATTACATGGTTAGTCTAGTTAAATCATTAGCATATGTAGGTCAGCAGCCTAACCATCTATCCAGGCAACTCTTTCCTGACTCAACAAATATTTATTGAGTGCCTACTATTTGTCAGGTATGTATGGGGTGTTGGTTGGTCCCAGGTACAATGGGATGTCGTCCCTGTCCTTAAAGGGCTTAGAGTCTGATGTGGGAATAAGCATTACACAATAATGATACAAATAACAAAATGGTTATAAATGATTGTTATGATGAAAAAGCAAAAAACTTAATAGAAGATATAATAGGGTGAACCAGTCTATTTTTTCTTGGATATGAAAAAGCATGCCTTTTTAGGAAAAATAAAAGTAATTCATTCAATATGGATGTATGGAAGAGTTGGAAGGAGAAAATATAAAGTGGTGTTAAGCCAAGGAAAATCACACCAGGCCTTTTAGGCCATATTAAGAAATTTGGACTTTATCCTGAGGGTGGTGGGGAGCCATCAAAGGTTTCAAACAGGAGAAAGGGATTCCTCTGAAACACTCCACTTGTAATCCTGGGCACTCATCCTGACAATCCATGAATACAGATAACCAAGTATAAAGTCAATGTATTAATACTATCGAAAGTGACTTAAATTTAGTTGTCAGTCAAGTGACTAAAAGTACAAAACTAACATTGAAAAACTGCTATTGTCTTCATTGCTTATGTTTGAGAACAGAAAAGAGAAACAATACATTAAATCAAGGACATGCGTTTTCAAGACTATGCCAAAAAAAAAAAAAAAGCAAATTATGAGAATGTCTTTAGGAAAAACAAAAAGATCTGTGAACTAAATTTATGAGAACTAAAATCTTTTCAATCATCAAAATGTATTCTAGGGGCACCTGGGTGGCTCACTCGTTAAGCGTCTGCCTTCAGCGCAGGTCATGATCCCAGGGTCCTGGGATCGAGCCCCGCATCAGGCTCTCTGCTTAGTGGAAAGCCTGCTTCTCCCTCTCCCACTCCCCCTGCTTGTGTTACCTCTCTCACTGTGTCTCTCTCTGTCAAATAAATAAATAAAATCTTTTAAAAAAATGTATTCTAAACTTTTAAATATTTTGGCTTCAGTGTGAATAAAGCTAAGTACTATGGATAATCATTTGGAAGAATACATACTTCACTATGTCATACTCTAGACTAAAATGATTCTCTAAAGAAATGAATATTTAAGTACAAAAAAATGACACCATAAAAACTTCTTAAATAAATTTCAGGTGAATCTTTAAATACTAAGCAAGACACCAGAGGCAAAAGTCATAAACTAAAATCAGTAAGATTGACTATATGCAATTAATAACTTCTATATCTTAAAAAATACAATGAATGGACTTCTGTTTCCAGCCAAGATGGAGTAACAGGGACTGGACTTATCTGCCACCAGAAACAACTAACATTACAAGAAGGAAAACAGACCAAAATTCTTCATAAATATGGATGCAAAAACTGATAACAAAATAACAGCAAATAAAATCCAATAATATATAAAATGGGTAATACATCATGAGTAGATGGGATTTATCCCAGGAATGCAAGGTTGGTTTAACACTCAAAAATCAAGCAATGTAATTTACCAAATCAACAATCTGAAAAAAAGCCAAATAATCATCTCTAAAGATGTAGAAAATCATCTGACAAAATCCAAAATTCAAACCTGATAAAAATTCTGAGCCAACTCAGAATAGAAGGTAATATCCCCAGCCTGTTAAAGGAAATCTATGAAACATTTATAGCTAATATCAAAAGTAATGGTCAAAGACCAAATGATTTCCTCCTAAGATTAGGAATGAGGCAAGGAAGTCTGCTCTCAGCCCTTCTCTTCAACATTGTGCTGAGGGTCTATAGTGTAATAAGGCAAGAAAAAAATAAAGACATCAAGATTGAAAAGGAAGAAGTTAGACTTTTACTGACAAACAACATAACCACCTATGTAGAAAATTCAATGCAATCTACAAAAAGCTACTAGAATTAATAACTGAGTTAATCAAAGTGGCATAACACAAGATCAAGATTAATATATAAAACTCAATTATATTTTTATATATGAACAAATGGAAACCAAAACTTTGAAACATCACAATAGCATAAAAATATGAAATACTTAGGGATAAATCTGACAAAGAATGTGCAAGACCTGTACATTGAGAATTATAAAATAATGTAAGCTACTACTTTCTGCAAGGTAGGAGGTGTGGAGAAGTGAATCCGAGGGGATATATGGGAAGATAAAACACGGGGGTAGGGAGCCTCCATAAGCCGGCTACCAGAAAGTGATACAGCAGCAGAACACGAAATCAGAACTTTTAAAAAATCAGAACCCTTCTCCAGTGAGGGAGGTCTCACCTGAAAGGTGCTCACATTGCTAAGCAGGGGCAGAACCTTAGGTGGGTCAGTGCGGTCTCAGGATCCCCAGGGTCACAGGAAGACTGGGGGTGCCTGAGGCAGAGTTCCCAGGCACTGGAGCAGGGAAGCCAGCTGCAATCAGCAAGCCCAGGAGTGGGCTCTCAGCTTGGGGTTGTCATAAACCATGAACCATGGCACGATCGGGTGACCGCTCCCCCAAGCCAGGGCCCAGCAAGTGACAGTACCAGTGAGATCCTCCTTCCTCCCCGGGAGAGGAGTGGTGAAGGAGTGCGCCGCAGGACTCTGCAGGGTTTGGAGACTCAAAATGGGGTCGTGTGCCTGAGGTAGAAACCCTTGGTCACAGGCAGGGTAAGCATGGAGTGCAGCCGGAGACCAGGGAGACAGGAGTGACGGACTATTTTTCTCTGAGGGTATACTGAGAAGTTAGGCTCCAAGCTTTAGGCTCGGGGGCTGGAGACTGGGAGGCCACCATTTTCATTCTCATCCTCTAAAGCTGCGCATAAAGC